GTGTTGTATGATTTGTTCGCAAACACCCCAGGCAGACATTATACGCCTTAGCATTCTCATATTTCTGGTGCAGAGGCAATTTAGCGTAGAGGTAACATTTGAACAATTCATGGTTGTTTCTTTTGCAAAAATGTACAAATATTTCCACACTCGCCTATACATATGCTTGGTTGTGTTGATTTATTATTATGACACCTGCTTGTTCCTAGTTATTCTGATTATTCTATTTGTTCCAGTTGTTCTATTTGTTTCAGTTGTTATGATTGTTCCATTTATTCTGATTGTTCCAGTTCTAGTTGTTCTGATTGCCCCAGTTATATTTGTTCTAGTTGTTTTGATTGTTCCAGTTGTCCTATTTGTTCTAGTTATATGTGTTCCAGTTCTGATTTTTCCAGTTGTTCTATTTGTTCCAGTTGTTCTATTTGTTCCAGTTGTTCTATTTGTTCCAGTTGTTCTATTTGTTCCAGTTCTTTTTTTCTAGTTGTTCTGATTGCCCCACTTCTATTTGCTCTGTTTGTTCTAGTTTTTCTGATGTAAATTTTTTCCTGTTGTTTTAGTTATCCTGATTCTAGTTTCTGTTCTAAATTCTGATCTAGTTGATCTACATGTTCTACTTGGATGTCCGGTTTCAAATTTTTCTTCATTGAATGTTGACGTTTCTTTTTAATTTTAGTTTACTTCGTGTACTTTGTAATATTTTTTCTGATGTTGTCCACAGATCAGTATTTCTTCCACAAATGGACGAGGGGAAAGTCTTCCACATCTTGCGCATACAGAAAATTGCTCTGAAATTCAGGTTCTACTGCAACGACTGGATCTGCCATCGATGACAAATTATTCTCGCTTTGCATTTCCCGTCAAAATTGTGAGCAGTGATAATTCGAGGGCAAATAATGATGGATTCTTCCAAGATGATCATGCATCGTTGGATGATGAATTTTCACCTGGAGTTTTTGAGGTTAGCGTGATCAAGCAGTAAGATTGAGGCTTTAGGTATAGAACGCGAATCTTTTTTTTTTCATTTGCAGTTGCTAAAAGTGATGTCTTCGAACATCATGAAGAGCTTGCCGGGCAGTTTTCTGATTTGGCGCCCAATCGCCTACTTGACTAATGCCAGAGACTTCAACGACGCCACTGCGGTGAAAGTGAGTCAGCTGAAAGACGTGGACTCCATGGGTTCCCATGATCTGGATTCAGTACTTGGAGCAGTATTCGGCAATCGGACACTTGCCGTTAAAATGCAGGCGATGAATGTCTCATTCGGCTTGCCCGAAGATGGGTTTTTCTTCGGGACCAACTATACGGTTTGGTAAGTTGGCATCGTGAACCTTCTGTGTGTACTTCCGTTTCTTGACACTCAATTTTTCATATATTTTACTTTAATAGCTTTCTATAGTTTAAAACTCTAACAAAAAGACTCGTGTAGAAAATGATCCATCTTTCTGCTTTGAGAAGGCCTTTCTACAGTTGATCAACAAGGGTTGTCCCAGTTCCGCAATGTTGAGTATTTCTAAATCCGTGAAAAATGCGTAAAAATAATATTTTTTCCCCATGATTCTCAGGCGACTGGTATTTTTTCGGTTTTTATTTTTTTCATGACACCGCATTAAAAGAAAAAAGTTTTCAGGTACAGCTTGAGTTTTCCACTCATTTCGGAGTCTGCTGAAAATTTGTCAAGAGAGTTTATAATTGAAAAATTGTTCCGAATATCATGGTTCTCCCATTGTGCGAAATTTTCTAAATTAGTGGGAGGGTTGCAATGGCTTGGTGTTGATTTAAAAGTTTTCCAATTTTTCTCCCAATCCTTTGCATTTGCACAAGACTGTGGAGAACGGGGTTCAATACTTATGAAACCTTGTTTCTGAAGTATAGAGGTTATTTTTTAAATACAGTATTGGAATAGTCTTCATAAAATTTGGCTTGTACAGGTGGACTTCCTTTACAGCGATCTTGTTTGCAACGATTTTTTTGGTCCCATATGATCTGCCCATGTTGTAGGTGTTCTTTACAACGATTTTTTCTGGTCCCATGCATTGCGTTGAAGAGATAGTCCACCTGTACTTTATTACAGTATGAATTTGTGATTATGGGGTCGCTTGAAACTAAGCTTCTTACGGAGCTGAGTTGTGGAAACGTGAAAAATGTGATTTTCATGCCGTACTCTTTGAAGGAAATTACTGTAGTTATACAGGGTATTGTTTCCATTTAACGAAAGCCATTGAAAACGTGCTCACAGTTAAATACCTGTTCCATTCTTCGTGACATCTTTGAGTTTGGAAATAGGACCCAAGTGTCTGCCATATTCTTTCATTTACAGTGTAGTTTTCCCCATTTTGAATTATGATCGGCATATAATTGAGGATGACTTTCGAAATCTTTCCAGGAACCTGGTTGTTGGTCTCGGACTCCCACCGAAGGATAATTTTTCGCCTCTCATTATATCCGCAATTATTGTCGTGGTCACCGCGCCCATTGCAATTGGGATTAGCGGCGTCGTGTGCCTTGCCGTGAAGAGAATATCCGGGCGGATGCGTCCTGAAACGAGCGTGATACGTTCATAATTTTTTTTTTATATATTTCGTGGTACAATTCAAGCGTGAATGCGCGGCTATCTGTGATTTACTTGCTGCGAACATGCGTATGTTCCTATGCGTTGTATTTTCGCTATTACTGTATTGGGAGTGTGGAAAAAGGATTTATGATCATGGAAATTATTCTATGTTTTATTAACAAGTGTGGGTTTCACGGATCGCATCAAATGCCACTTCGCCTGAAAAAAATCAATTGACTCCAGGAAAAAACCTCGAGTCACAATAAAAAGGGAAAAACACAGACGAGTGCCCGATTTATTACTAAGATCATTTCTGCCAGTATCATACTTCTCTTCCGAGTACCAACAAAGAAAATTGCATGTTCCTGGTGCATGGCGCTATGTTAATACAGTGGATTTCTTCATTAATTGATGTGGATCGAAAAAATGTACGTGAAATTTTGAAATGAAAAATGATGTGCGTCACGAACTCGTTCTGAATAAAAAGAAATAAGAGAAAAGTATTTCACGAAAAGGAATAAATTTCTGCACCTCATCACTTTGAACTTTTACATGTGCAAATTTCGACCTATAAAACGATGGTGTTTCTGCTGGAACAACATAAAAGGGATATATTTCAAGATAGTCAAATGGAAAAATTCGCAAGGTTTTCCGTTGGAACAAAATGACTATGCAGCAAAATGCCGTGTGTGTATGTATAACTTGCGAAGTTACACACAATTATACAATTGCAGTACTGTACTGTATTTTTGTAGTGCCTTAAACTGTATACAGAAGTCAGTATCAAGTACTGTACTAACATTTGCAGTTCACATTTCCTGTCCATTTAATGCCTTTAGTGTGCAGTAGAAATTGCAGTTTTTACCTGAATGCCCAGCGAACATCACAGCCACTAAATTCGGACTAGACATCTGACCAGAGAAATACATACCAGCAGGCTGTATACAGTATAGGGGTTTCACAGGAGTTGTGTACATTCGATAGCGAAATAAGTACTACAGTACACAGTACAGTACTGTGATGTGTTTTAAAGCGACATCTATCAATTGTCTCCCTTATGAAAAAGCCTTGCACAACGACTGACAGACCATCGCATGGCGTAAAACATAGAGAACGCTCCTTGTCAGAGAGATACTGCATACGAGAAGGAAAACACGACGGGCATCAGGAAGCGTTAATCCGAAATGACTTATTTTGTCGCTGGTACACAATACTGTATTGCAAAAAGTATAAGCATCCGAAAAAATGGCTACATAAAAAGGAAATAAAGATACCCGACGCACTTCACACACGTTTCATTGTGCTGTCAGTCACAGATTTCGGTCTTCGCTTCGCCCCTTCGCGTACGTTTGACAGTGAAAAAAAGATTCAGTTCAGCCTCCTCATCTGAGGATTCTGAGCATTTATTTATAGACTGAGACCCGGCGATGCATCTGCTGCGTGGTTTAGGTGCGACTCCTCCTCACTGAAGTGGCGGCGCGTGCGTAAATCGGTAAAGCTATTGCTTTGATGACGAATTTCTTGTTATATGAACAAAGCAGTGCCTCTTTGTAAATTAAATCTTGTATTGTTTTAGTTGTTCAACATTAAGCTACGGTAGTACATTTAATTCGTTTATAAGGCTAAAAGATATGGTGCCCACTACAGTATTCTGCTGCACACTAACCAGCAGTTGGGGAAACGATCCCTTACCTTACACGCATGACTGAAGCGACACCAAGAGGAAAGGAAAGACAGCACAGGAAGGAAAGGGACGACGAGCTTCAATAAGCCGTACACCTCATCATCCCGTTTCCTGCCAATTTAGTCTCTCTCTTTCCTCTCCGGGGTGTTGTGCGCGGACCGGAGCCGCGCCGTGATACTTTTCTTTCCTTCCGGCCTGTAAAGAACGGCGATACGGTGCTCGGAGTTGTGCTGTACTTGTGTTTCCGGTCCGGAAACGGTATACGCATGCTTGGGCTCCTCGTTCGTCGTCGTCGCTAATAAGCCCGGGCCCCTTCTCGCCGCAGGAAGGGAGTGGTGCGTGCATTTCCTTCCTTTTGCGGAAACGGTTCTTCCGGTCCTGTCCCTTATACTGTTCCCTCCTCCTCTTGTGATGCTCAAGAGACCGTGGTGATGTGTTTCCTCTTGCTTCGCATGGTCGCGCGCACGGCACCACACAAGGCCTTGTGTGCATTTCCTCTCTGTTGACCACATGTGTGTGTGTGTGTGTGTCGCCTTCTGCTATTTATTTATTTCCTCTGCGCGAAAAAGGATGTCGAAAGAGGGGATGGATGGGGGGGGGGGGATTCATTGGAGCCCCGCCAACTTACAGACGATTCCACTTAGGTACGCTCGAAACTGGAACAAATCTACTCCAACATCCCATGTCTTCGCCAATTTTTGCCAAAAAAATTGGCTAATCTACTTATATTCTTGTATATTCACAGAAATTAGAATACAGTACAGTCAAATTTCAAGGGACTATCAAAACAATTTAGTTGAGGAGGTTTTGAGTTTGGGAAACTTGCATTTTTGTTGTGGGAAAGATATAAGAATTGCAGAAAATGGTAATTGGTCATATTCTTGGTTGTGAATTCATTTTTAAATCAGTTTACAGGAGGCTGAACTTGGAGGTAAGGGCTCATATGCCAGATCAGTCTCCCTGCATTCCTTTCAAAACACATCAAGTTATATTTTTATTGCCTTTCTCTTTCCTGTCTCAAGAAAATAATAGCCAGAAGGCATTAGGAAATTCAAGTTATGAATGTTTGAGAGGAAAAGCATGTGAGTTAAAAATGTTTTTAATGCATTGTTTCTAAGGGAATTCAGAGAGGGACTTGCAACAAAATCAACATGGGGAGTTATGACAAGGTTAGAGTTATGAGGTTAAACCATACTATAAATTTACTCTAAATCATAATAAAAGAAGGCTAATTGTGTGCTTCTTTAAACTGTTTCCAATATCTGTGCACAATATGTAGGAACACCTGTGCTTGTTTTTTTGGTTCCAGGGCTTCTTTTCAGGCCAAAAGATCAAATTCTGTGAGATTTTCTTCTGCGCAGTATTTTTCTGCTGTTGTCTTGAAGTGGAGAAAGAATCATTTCATATTTGGACAACTTTTAAAAATTTTGTATCAACAGTACAGTATAATTAATTAAATAGATCCGACATGCGGACGCGTTAACATGGTGACAAGGTCCAAAAGTACGTTTCCGTCTCGGGGGGGGGCCCCAGGGTACACAACCAACAAAAAGAAGGAGGGGGGTGCGAGATGGCGGCGATAGGGGTGGGCATAGTTATAATGGGGATGCTGGAATGCCGATGCTGCAGCGCCACGCCGACCGCGCGCGTGTGCAATACGCTTCAGCTTTCGGCAGGCGACAGACGCAACAACCGGCAGCAGCTACATAACCCCCCAGACTTTTAACCGTTTTACCCCCCTCCGTCTATAGACGAGGAGAGGAGGGGAGAAGCGGAGAAGAACAGGAAGAGAGCAGATGTGCCATGCGAAAGAAGGGGACGGAGCCGCGGGGAGGGGAGGGGAAAGGAAGAAGAAGAAGAAGAACAGGAAGAGAGCAGATGTGCCAGAGAGCGGAACTCGTTTGCGCCTCGCCTTTTCATCTGCTGCTGCTGCTGCGCATTCACCAGAAAGCGAGAGAAATAGAGAGAGACCGACAGACAGACCCGCAGCAAAAACAGGGCACACACACACACACACACATACATTCGCTCACATGCCGGCTGCCCCGGGTTGATGAGAGATGCAGAGCAGCTGTGGGATGGTGGGTGCCTGTCGTTAGGAGGGGAGAGCACAAATGACGCTTGCAGGCCTTCTGTCGGAGGGACGATGATGATGATGATCAGGTTTCGGGCGACCTTTCAAATTTTATCTGAGGATGAGGGTTAGTACTGTGCAGTATTCGACGTTCAAAGCTGCAGCAGGCGCGGATCGAGAGATATAGGGAGTTTTGAAGCTATTTGAAATTACTCAATTTTGGTATGAGGAAGCGCTTTTGTGGGCTAAAAGCGAACCATGAACCATGCGGTTCAATACAGCAAGACTTGGGCAGACCGTAAAGGCATAAACGTTGCGGCAGACGCAGCCGTTCGGTGATGGAAAAGAAGTCACAGAAGCTTCAGCCAGACAGGATGGAATCTCTTCCTTTTAGCGTGAAAAAGATTAACCAGAGACCAGAGTATCTTCAAAATAAATTGTGCTTTCCACACCTTGGGGTTTTTTTATTATGATTGAGACATTCTTCAAATTGTTGAGAGAAGGGCGATTTGGGAATTGTTTTTCCTGTTTCATGTCCCAAATTACATGGAAAAATGAACAAAAACACTTTTCTATCCCTGTTGATCCCTTGAAAAATATATTAGATTGAAATTAACTTATGGTTCAAACAGAAGTCCTCATGTTAAAAAAATGATTGAATCTCTCTCCTTTTAAATGGCAGTTAAAAATGCAATAACTATATAGAGCAAGACTTGAGAATTTTCTATGAAGTACTGTATGTTCCTTTTTTTAAAGTATTTATTCAATAAAAATATAACTGGAATTCAGTACAATAAAGTACTGTAAATGAAAATAACCAATTTTTTGATTTGAGGTGCTATTTTTAGCCTTCCTTAGTAAAAGGCAAACCCTGTATTGAAACTTGAATATTGCACATTACTACCCATGCTGATATGTTTAGAACGGCATCATTCCTCCTATATGTGTAGAGTAATATGAAAAAGGCTCTTTGACCAAAACCACGCATATCATGGGAATAAAAGCAAACATTAAAAAAACCCTTTTATCCTCACTTCAGCCGTGGCATATGCATCAGTGATCTTTTTTTTGTATCTCTTGCTTCTTTTCATTTTTTTGTGAAGTTATGGGCATGAAAAATAAGATTGAGAACCGCATGTACCAAGGATTTATTGTCATCCAGCGATTTTAAATACAGTACAGTACTGTATCAACAAGGGTGTGCGCTCCTAAATTTAATGGACCATGATGTTACTTTGTCAATGCCGTATTGACAAGCTTCACAGTCCTACAGAAACTTTCCTCAGTACATCCTTGGGATAAGTGAGTGTATAAAGGGTAGAGACAGAAAGGATGGATAAGCGTGGATTTTTGCACCAGTGGCGGATTTGTCCCTGGGCTTTTCTTTGGATGCACGGAGGATGCGCATCTATGGCCATGGGACGCATCCGTCCGCCAGCAGTAAGTGGGAGAGAGAGAGTGAATGACTGAGTGAATGGGAGAAAAAGAGAGAGCCTGTGCAGCTGGCTTATTTTTTTTGGTGCGATCCTCATTTCTGGCAGACGGACGGCAGTTGGATGGATGATTTGGAACTCGGGAGACATGTGGTCGCGTGCCGCCGCCGCCGCCGCTGCGAAGTGAGATGAAAAGAGTGTTACCAGCCCCGCGCGTGATTCAGCCCTGGACTGACATTCTATGCTTTGAACAAATTCACAGAGATTTGAAAAAATCGACATCGCCGTTGAACGTGTTTCGGGAATTTTGGACAATAACTTTCCTGAAACGCAAAATATTTTCAGAACATTTGTTTTCTCTCAATTTTTGTTATTGTTATTGAGAAGAAGATAAGAACGTGCGTGTCTGAAAATTGAGACACACCCTATGAAAGTTTCATTTCGTGGGACCATAATTTTATCTGATTTTTTCAGAAAAGGCAGGAATTTTAATTTTTGGAAAGATTTAAAAAAACGTAATTTTAATCTCAATTGCTTTTTAGTCGACCAAGATTTGCTTTTGAGAAAATCCGAACAATTTTTTCACCCTTGAAGAACCCATCAAACGCTTTTTGGGAAGAAGGATAATTTTGATGTTTGAGAACTTCTTTCATACTTACCTTCGTTTTGTAACGAAAGGGAATATTTTTAAAGGAAAGAAAAATTCGGGGAATAAAAATGGGACTGGTCATTGCACTCATTGGTCATAGGATAATTTTTCAAATCACACATGCATAGCTACAGCTAGTACCCAGTTAGGTATGCTTATTATACTGTACTGTATTAGAGTGGCTCTCTGCCCAACAAGAGACTCATACGAAATTTATTACTCAAAAAGATTTCTTACTGGAGGAAAATTGACTTGTCATAAAAAGTTAATTTTTTCGCAAAAGAACTCATGAATTTTAAGAATTTGTCAGGTTAAACTTTATAACTTCTTCAAATTGGTAACAGAGAATACAATGGTGAAAATTTCTCCTACAAGTCCAAAAATTTGAGCATTTTTGATATGATGGTTTGAAATTATCAGGCATACAGTTTTTACAAATAAATGTATTACTCACAATTTTGTTGTTCGTCCGTGGCTTTTGTGGTGTATTATTGGTGTTTTGTGAATGTCTGGAACCAATCACATTTTATCAATGATGCCATTAGGTGAATCATATCTTTCATGATGAAATACAGGTGGAAACTCCCTACAACAAAATTAGGGGACCAGGAAAAATTCATTTTACAGAACCCTATGATATGGGAAGAGAAACCCGTGGGACCAAAAAATTGTTATGCAGATACTGCATAATCTTCATAGAGATTCCACTTGTAGTAGAATAATAAAAATACCTTGGAATGTCCAAGTTTTGTGGTGCAAGGGACTCCCCGGTACGTGTATCTCGGAAGTCGCAACATGCAGAACTGGCAACTCTGGTGCGCTGGCGCGACTACTGTACGGAGTTCCCGCCTCCCCTCCTCTCCTGATGATGCGAACTGCGAGTTACCCGCATGGTTCTCTTCCGCACTCCGCGACAGTTGTGCGGCTGCGCTCAACGGAGGCAGATGTCCCTGACGCGGCTCTCTCTTCTATCCTACATTGCGAAATCCCCCACCCCCTCCCGGCTATCCGACACCATTGTGCTAGTGCCGTCGCCGCCAGGTGTGGCGCGTGCCTGCTGCTGCTCATACGCGCGCCAAGGATGTCGTCCGAGTTATTCAATCGGTTTCTTTTACTAGCAGGGAATGTGATACGTTACACAGAAAATATCGACGTACATAGATAGAGTGATAATCTCTGCTGCAGTCGTCGTTCGTGAATTATCCGTCTTCGCGCACAGAAAGAGAGTGTGCTTGTGTCCAATTCGCCTGTACGTGTCGTTGTGACGATGACTATGAAGCTGGTGAAGAAGCTTCGGAGAAAGATGGGCATCAGTGAGTATACTGTGCATGAAAGGAAAAGTGTCACCCTTTACTAATTACGGGTTGTTCCATTTCCCCCTTCGCGTGTTTGTGTAGGTGAAGGAAGCCGCCTTCGGTCAGACAATAGTGGTGGTCTTCTGCCCCTGTCATCGTCGTTGCCGCGGTCCGCCCTGAGATTCCACACTGTTCACGGCGAAAATATCCGCCTTTCCAACGACCGCACTGTGGCTCGTCGTGTCGAGAGCTTCTGCAAGGGCATCACCTTCTCCAGCAGGCCCATCAAACCCAACGAAAAGGCAAGTGTCAATTTTGTTCGCCTCCACCCACCTTTTGACCCCTCCTCCCCGTTTGAGTTGTGGATGAAATCCCGCCCGGAGCAGGGGAAACACCCCTGATTTTTGTGTCACCATCAACCGTCGTTCGGCGCTAGTCCGTTTTTGGAGTGAGATTTAACGACGCTACCATTTGCGACATCTATTTGAAACTGAGTTTTCCGGTGGGGCCTCCAGCATTGCGTGTGTTCCACTTTCCTGTGATCGTTCCGTTCCACAACTTGCTCACGAGTGCGATGATTAAGCGGAAATATGGAGGAATTACGGTACCGTACGCTTGAGCTAAACTGTAAAGCAACCTAACCTAATTTCGGAGCAATCAAACATCATCCTAGACAGCGCTCGGTATTGCTTTTATTCTGGTGTTGCAACGCGTAAGCCTGGACGAATATCCAGGTGAGAAGTGCAGGAGCCGATTCAAGATGGGAGAATGTGACATTCGGGATATGGGAATTGAAGGCGGGGTTGTCAATAGCTGCGTGCCCGGAGATCGACACTCCGCCTTTAATGTACAATGGTCCATTCTTCTCCATCCATCGGTTTTTTTTGTTTCCTTGAGCTGAATATTGTGTTTGGATGTCCAGTCCATCATCTCATCGCTGTCGTGCCGTGACGTACGTGTTGTGTATATGCGCGTGACGCGAGTGCATTCCACCATACCTGAGCGAGTCTCGTCCGCTATGTGAGTCGACAGTTTTTTTTTTTCGTGGGTATTATCGCTGTCCCATCTTTTGTGCCCTCTGTCTCATTCTTGTCTTATTTTTTTTGCGTCAGTTTCGCAGCTGTGCTTCAATCAAGAACGTATTGATGTAAAATTGCTGGTTCAGGGGCATTTTACGAGATCACAGTTGCCAATTCTCAAGCGTCGTATTTTCGCGAATATAAGCACCTTTTTTTTACATTTTAGATGAATATTCTTTTTTTAAAGAAATCTTGTTTGCAGCCCCCAAAACGATACAGCACTTTTCAGTTTTTTGGAATTGCAGTAAAAAATAATCAAGAAATGGTCATCTTTCAGCACTTAGTCGTGAAGAGCAAGGGTTCTGTGATGCCATTTGTTAATTCGCCCAGAAATGTTAGGGTTCCTGGAAAGTCAGAGCACCAGGAAAGTAAGTGGGTGCTTATATTCGTCAATTAATGGAATTTTTATTGTGTGCGTGAAAAATCTTTTACTGTACATGCGTAAATACGGTAATGCTCTGATGGATAATGAAAGTGTCGAACAGTTTGAATTAATACTGTAATTGGAACAAACAATGAGGATTGTTCGATGTGGTAGATGACACAGTATAAATGCTGGTTCACCTCGTAGCTTGCAGATGTCGCTGGTGTATGCGGTCCCGGTTAGGTCTCATGAAGGTGGAATACAGTTGTGCCAAATATCATATCAAAGCGATTTTCCCATGATTGAGTATCCATCAATTCAGGCCAAAAGTAAAGAAGGAGGAGGTGGTCTCATGAGTGTGTGACTTTTTTTTCTAACGTTCGTCGCAGCGTGATCTTCTGCATTTTAATCATTGTTGCCCTAAAAATATATTTGCTAGACACGACGGGTGTACATCCGAGAGTTTTCTCGAAATTGCGTTTCAACAGGGACGCACCCAGCGAAAAATTAAATAATGCGAAAAGGGCTCCTCGGATTCAAAAATATTCAGTAACTCTGTGGTAGTCCACACCCCCGGGGGGTTACATGCGGAAATAGGGGAAAAGAGAGAGACCGGGGTTGATTTCCTGGAACCCCCGGCAACGGTTCCACCCCGAGAGTCGCGCACGGAGTCCCACCTGCGGTGTAAAACTCACAAAGGAAGCTACAGAAAAAAAATGAAAGAAAGAAGGAAATGGAAAAACACAGGAAAGAGGAGGAGAAGAGTGTCCAGGTGTGAAGGGGACGGATGGGGTGTGACGTGTGTGACTCCCGTGGGGGGCTGTGATTTTGGCGCGGCGGCCTGCACAAGGTTTCCAAATCCGGTGATGTCGGTTTTTCTGTTTATTCAAATACCCCGCCATTTTTTTTTTTGCGTTCGCAACGTGCAATTTTTTTGTGTGGTTATTTTTTTGCGAAGGGCACTTATGCTGCGTTAATTCGAGAAGCGGGTGGTGGGGCTTGAAAAACCGATTTCTTGGCCCTCCAAGTCTGTAAAAGACGAGAAAGCGGCATGAATGAAACGATTTATTCACCATCAAGTAGCAAGAACATAATGTGTTACCTTTTGATTGATTTCCGCTTGCTTTTTCCGAAATGAATCTCCATGCGTAAATCATTGCAAATTCTATTTGCCGTACCATATTTGCTAAAGTACTGTACCGTACGCAGTTTTTGGGGAAAATGAATGAAGAAAAACTGGGGAGAACTTGAGGGAAAAAAACAAGGTGTGCGTCATTTGTACCAATCTTAGGGAGATTTTTTTTTTCCAATTCTTCGCAAACCATGCATGAATTACACATGTGTGCATTTCTTTCATGAATAAATCCTTCCTTTAAGAATTCTGAACTCCGTTTTCAACGATTCTATGATTCATATGAAACAAAAACATGCGCAGTTGAATTCAATGTGGGTTTGCAAACTTCGCATATGGATTTTTTACCCTGTGTGGTTTTCCAAATACTTCATAGTGTGATTTTTTTTTTAACTGAAGTGGCATTCTTACGCAGGATGGATTTTTTTTCCAACATTTTAGGCAGAAATTTGGGTAAAAGTCTTATGCAGGAATGGGATTTTCCAAGGAGAAGCTAAGAAACGCTTCTCACTTGGAGCGTATTGTACTTGATGAAAGATTTTTACTTGCTCAACAGACCCCATCTTTAAAAAAAAAAATTTTATAAAGAAATCATTACACATAAACGCGCTGCATTGACGAATGCTGGAATGACGGGCTCTTGTTGTCCCATGAAAACTAAGCCAAACACTCCGGGCTTGGAAGAAAATATCGTCACAGCAAGCTTCTTTCTTAAAAAAAAAAAATTGCATTGGGAAATACTGTAGGTCAACCTTTTCTTTGTAGAAGATTTGACCGATTTACCAATGTTCTTTTTTATTGTTTTCAAGAAAAAATATCGTACTGATTCAAAACACTCCCGGCTGAGGAGAAAATGTTCTCACAGCAAGCTTGTTTCTTGAAAAAATTGCATTGGAAAATTGGTCAACTTTTTTTAAAGAATTGACCAATTTACCAATGTAATTTTTTTTTTCAAGAAACAAGCGTGCGGGTCAACATTTTCTCCTCAGCCTGAAATTTAAAAAACTCAGTACGATAATTTTTTTTACAGGGCCACGAACCGTTTTTTATGCAAGAATTTTACTGTTACGCAATATAAGGCGTGATTTAGAAAAAAAAAGCATTTTTCCCAAATACAAAATTTCACTCCTTGCATTGCGTTGCAGTAAAATCCTGGTGAACCAAACTTTCACTGGCCCTGTGAATGAAAATCGTATTAGTGAGTTTATTCTCGCTGTGCGCCTTTAAGCTTTTAATGTGGCATGCGATGCAGTTTGTCTCATACCGAATGCTCATTTATTAATGCAGGTGTATCTCAAGTTGCTGGAACTCAGAGACTGTTGGAACGGCGTGATCCGGTTCGGCTTGACCAGCAATGACCCGGCCAACCTGGCCCGAGGCGGCAACAACGTCCCCAGCAGCGGCTCTAGCAGCATGCTGCCCAAATACGCCTGTCCCGACCTGACCAACAAGCCGGGCTACTGGGCCAAGGCCCTCAGCGAGCGCCTGTGCTCACCCGACTGCCTCCTCCACTTCTACTACACCACCGCCGGCGACTTGTTCTACGGCATCGACGGCGCGGACAAGGGCGTCCTCTTGCAAGACATTGACACCCGGACGCCGCTCTGGATGCTCCTCGACGTGTACGGCAACTCCACTGCGCTGCAACTCATTGACGTGAGGGACGAGCTCAACAACTCGCGACGGAACCTGGTGCATAACGTGGACGTCGACGAGGACCTGCAGCGTTGGATCCTGCCGGCCATGTCGGGGCTGTCCCTGGACTCCACTGAGGCGCCCAATGCCGCCGCCACCACCACCACCACAATCCGGCGACCCGTCGTTAATGATGGACGACCATCGAGTACCGCTACTTCTACTAGTCATCAACGTCTTCCTGCTCCTCATGCTGGCCAACAACAGCAACAACAACTTGGGTCTTCTCCCATGTTGTTGCGCATTGAAGGCGTTGTTCCTGCTCGCAACGTCGCCTTTCACAGGTAAAATAGAGAGATAAAGAAAGAAAAAAGATAGATGATAAAGTGAAATCTCATCACGTTGCATCACAATTTTCAGGATGCCTAACTTTTACTCAAGTATTGGCAGAAACCTATAGAGTAAACGTCAAGACAATCTAGTTATACAGTACAACAAACTTCCAAATCCCAGCATAGGCAAACTTTTTTGAGGACTGTAAAGTTACTTCAATAGATTCTCCAGGTAGAAATTCCGCCTTTACTACAAATACCATTATAACAAAATTTGGTACTTTTCTGTTATCTCAGTGCCCATTTTTCTTTGTCTCGTGAATTCAGTATTTGTGTGATGAAAAATTAGTTAATCACGTTAGTTGAAGAGAAAAGGAACTACATCACTACCATCCAGACAAATAACCTAACTTCACCTAGCCGCCTCCCAAAATCAGTTTCTGCTTTCTTTGGGTTTCTGCTGAAACT